ACATGTGTGTTGAGGCGTATATGACTTCGCTTGAACCCTGTTGAGATGGAGTAATTTAACGGCCACATGTCAACGCCGTCGTCCACGTCTGTAAACGGTGTAGACGGAATTAGCCCAGTGAATGGTGGAGTGCAGTTTTACTAAATTCAGTGAGTAATTGGGTGCAATATAAAGTTAGGTGAGTGAAACGTGACACTTCATAAAATTCAGTAACCGTTGAAGAGACGTGTTTGGGGATGACATTGCTGATCACTGTCGAGTTGGAGTCATTTAACAGCCAAATATCAACGCCGTCGTCCACGTCTGCAAACGGTGTAGACGGAATCAGCCCAATGAGTGGAGTGCAATTTTACTAAGTTCAGTGAGTGAGGTATGCATCGTAAAGTTCAGTGAGTGAAACGTGACATTTTGTAATGTTCAGTGACCGTTGAAACAATTAACTCCCATCAAATTAGCCCAACACCCATTTTAAAAGTTGAGTGATGTAGATTAACCATTTTCAAAGTTCACCACTCCTCCAAACGTTTCATTTACACCAACGAGCTTTTTCATTGTTGTTTTATTCTTCAAATTTGAGAGATGCTGCAGATCTAGGGCCAAAACCAGACCCAAATCCGGGGGGCCGAGGTGGATGCACCTCAGCCCTTGATTTTAATTCATGTGGATACACCTCAGCCACTTGGATTCTAGTCGGTCCTTCACCCGGCCGACTAGCATTTTTCATCTTTTATTATATTACTACGTGCAAGCAATGTGCAATGCGCGTTTGCCTAATTTATATTTAATAGTTTTGTTTAAGAATTAATTTGTTATTAATAAAGATACAATTTTTTTGTTTAATTAAATAATTAATGATGTAATGTTTATGTAATTGATAAATAATTAGATGTGTGATTTTGATGTTGTGATGTAAGTTGGTGAGATCGAAGAAAATAAGTAAAAGTTGACAAATTCGGAGAAAGGGCTAAATTGTAAGGGATCCAAAGTTCGGGGACTAAAATACAAATACTTAAAAGTTGTCCCAAACCTCACGATGAAGATTTGA